CAGCTCCAAGGCAAGGGGAAACTAATATGTGACATGTATTCCCACATAAAAGCATTTGAGGTGAAACTAGCACTGCTTGTGGGACAAGTGCAAAAGCAAGACTTCACTCATCTCCCCGTTACCCAAAGTCTCTCAGCTGAGAAACCAGTGGCTCCACTCCCAGCTGAAAAGTCCGTGGAAGCGCTGGAAATGCTGAAGGCGGAGTTTGACGTGCGATTCTGTGAGCTACATGTCCACGCTAAAGAAATCCGCCTTTTCCAGAACCCCTTTGCTGCCGACATTGTTGAAGCCCTGCCTTCTTATCAGTTTGAGTTGGCGGAGTTACAGAACTGTGATGTTCTGAAAGACGCATTTAAGCCCAACGGTCTCCTTGCCTTCTATGCTGCCCTCCCTAACGAGACATACCCAAACATCAGAAGGCATGCAATGAAGATGTTTATATGTCTCTTGAAAAGTAATCATTTGTCTGACTCTGTACGGTGCATAACAAAAACTATTCTAGCATTAGGAGGCATAATAAATACATTTAAAATCATAATAAAATCTCCACAATAATACTAGAAGTCACTCCGGCCCATGTATTTTTCTGTTACAAACCGACCCGCCCCCCATTAAAGGGACAATTATGTGGCCCTTGCAGAAAAGAGTTTGGGGACCCCTGGTCTATATAGTGTAGTGTATATGGTGTTTAGTGAATATAGTGTATATAGTGTATACAAGTGTATAGTGTAGAATATATATAGTATAGTGTATATAATGTATAGTAATGCATATTGTATATAGTGTATATTGTAAATAATGTATAGTATATTGTGTAGCCTATAGTGTATATAGTGTAAAGTGTATATATTCTAAATGTATAGTATGTAGTGTACATAGGGTAAAGTGTAATAATGTAGTGTATATAGTGTAAAGTGTAAATAGTGTATGAAGTGTATACCTTAATAGGATTGTTGTAAACATTACTGGCACCTTATAATTATTGATTTTAAATATAATTTATTATTGTTGTTGTTGTTGTGTATTGTGACTTTGGCAGTATTGTATATAAAATGAACCATTTTGAAGCATCTTTCCAGAAATGAGGATGGATACCAACTTACTTGATCCCTGGCGTCAGCTGAGGCGGGTGGTCAGTGATCAGCTTGTTGACTTGTTCCCTCGAGCACTTGATGATGGACAGACGCTCACTCAGAGCGGTGTGGAATGAGACAGAGCCGCCCATGGCCTTCAGAGTCCTGCGGACCAGAGATGTGCTGTCACACTCCACACTACACCGGCATCTGTACACTAGCTAGGCTGCTTGACCACACGTGTGAGTGAGTGTGTGTGTGAGTGAGTGTGTGTGAGTGAGTGTGTGTGAGTGAGTGTGTGTGAGTGAGTGTTTTGTGAGTGAGTGTGTGTGTGTGTGTGTGTGTGTGAGTGCGTGTGTGAGGTTCTGTGAGTATGAGAGCCGGTTTACTGACATCTCCGTGACCGCGTCTCCGACGCCGCAGAACTTGGCGAGCTCGTCGATGCCCTCCTCGCGGATCACGGTGCTGTCGACGTCGAAGCACACGGCGTCCGCGCACCGGAAGAGCTCCTGCGTCTGCGCCGCGGTGGTCATGCTGAGCTGGGCACGGGAGACACTGCAGGAGGAACACAGCAGCCGCGGAACCTGCGCTCATTTACAGAAGAGTCTCAGAGCGGCAGCGAGGCGTTAAACGCGTTCATTCATCCGAGCAGAGATGTTGCGTCAGCCTCAGGGGCTTCGTGCGCGCTGCACAAACAGTCATGCACAGCTCAGATCATATTCACTCACTTCCCACAACAACAAATAAACAAGACGCTGGATAGTTCGTGAGCTGTGTGACTTCACATGCTCTTATAAATGCGGTTTACCTGAATGCAGGAGCGGGAGAGAGGCGCCTCCGGCAGCCACAGAAGAGCTCGCTTCACTCGGCGAACAGCGGGCTCTGAGCCGGCCAATCACATCACACCCTCACTCAGCGACTGCTCTGATTGGTCAGGAGTCTCCAACAGGAAATACGACTCACGCGAATTTACTTTTTTACGTTCAGTATATAATTGAAGCATGCATCTTACAAAAAAACATTTATATCAATACCATTTCTAAATGTCTGTTTTTTTAATGGATTTAAAAATTAAGGTATGAATTATTAAAAGAACAAAAAACTTGTCAACCTCGTCTGTATGTTTTTTTTTCTTACCTAGTTTCTAATTTGTTTCCAATTAGAGTGGGTGGAAGGCACATCACATACTTTGTTTTATTAAGGTGTTAAATGTCAATATGCTCTATCACTCAGAGCTCCACCCACTCAATCCCGTGCTGAGATGAGCACGTGTGTGGAAGGCTTTCTGTAGTAGGTTTAAAGACAGTTTTACTGTTTTAAGACAACACATTTGAAAGTGTCTCTCAACACGTACACATTCTGGCCATGTTTGAACGTGTAATACTTTTTAAAGCTTACTTACCTCTAAATTTACCCACATATTAATTCTTTCTTTAGTTTATTGCAGCATTGCTTTACTGATGTCTACCATGTTAAAATAAATTAATTAGTGTTACAATGTAAATTAAGACTTTTCTATCTGAGAAATAACGTTGAACTAAACATCTAAATAGGACATGAGAGATCATTACATATAACTGACATCACACAACGAACCGATGCATTATCCCTCACGAACATGTTTGCATATGTGCATGCCATCGTGTCACATATGCAAATATCGTCTCAAATACAGCAACTTCATTGGCTGCCGTTTAAAGTCTGCTGGCTTTATTGGCCTTCCATACACATGAACCCCCTCAGGCTGGAATGCCTCGGATCATCAGCCAGTCATTCATATCTGCTGCCATGATACACATTCATTAATCAGAAAGTGCACTGATCTTCGGTGCGCTATAGACCTCACTCAGCCTGAGCTGTTATGTAAAAGCTCTTCTGCAATTGTTGTTACAGCTGGCACTGGTTTTCATTGTCTGTAAATCCAGGGTGTATCTGAGTTAGTTTTTCTCACAGTTGCGAGTTTACATCTCACAATGTAGTTATACAAGTTATGAACATTTACATTTAGCAGATGCTTTTATCCCAAGTGACTTGTGTTGCCTTGCTGCATGACCCACTTTCTCTTGAGACTCAGTTCTCGGACAGATGTCCTGACATTTTCCTTCAGCTTGCTGGTATAATTCAGAATTCATCGTTCCATCAGTGATGGCAAGCTGTCCTGCTCCAGATGCAGCTAAACGGGCCCAAACCATGATACTAGCACAGATGGGATGCGTTTCTTATGCTGGAATGCAGTGTTTTCCTTTCTCCAAACAAAATGCTTCTCATTTAAACAACAAAAAAAGTGGCTTTCTTCTTGCTGCTCTGCATTGCACACCATGATTGTTCTCCTGATGGTGGACTCCTGAACTTTAACATCAGCCAATGTGAAAAATACCTTTAGTTTATTAGGATTTACCCTGGGGTCCTTTGCGGCCTCGCAGACTATTACATGTCTTGCTTTTGGAATGATCTTTGCTGGTCAAACACTCCTTGGGAGAGTAACGATAGTCTTGAATTTTTCCATTTGTACACAAGCTGTCTGACTGGATTTGTGGAGTCTAAACTCTTTAGAGATGGTTTTGTAACCTTTTCCAGCCTGATGATCAACAGCAACTCTTTTTCTGAGGTCCTCACAGATCTCCTTTGTCCGTGCCATGATTCACTTCCACAAACATGATCAGACTTTGGTCATCTCACTGATTGAAAACACCTCTGAACAGATGGACTAGGAGTATATATTTTTGTCTCATTTGTTTGATTAAATTCTCTGAACTTGCAGGACTTGTGTGAGAACCTGATGATCTTTTGGGCCACTGAAGTAGTGAGGTTATCGAGCCCGTTTAAATGCTGAGAGAAAGACACCAGTGTGAAGGGATGTGTTAATGAGTGCAGGTACAACTGAAGAAGAAATGGCTTGAAGGAGATGAGATGGAATAGGATCAAGCGGACAAGTAGTAGGATGATTGGAAAGGATGAGTTTGTCTCAGAGAGTGAAGAGAAGGATGTGAACAAGTGTGTGTTTGACAGATTGTAGTGTGGAGAATTGTGCACTGATGGTTGTAATTTTATTAATGAAGAATGAAGAATGTGGCAAAGTCGTCAGCCGTTAGAGGGGCAGACAGTGTCTAAACAAGACGTCAGAGTGGAGCAGAGAGTGTCAGTAGCACTGTTAGCATCAAGAGATTATAACGGTTTAAGGGAACGAAGCGAAGATGAAGCCACAGCAGATAGCCGGGAGGGTGAGAGTGAGCGTAGGTTACGTTGAAAGATGACGTGGAGGAGAGTACCATCAGGGCATGGTGCCGAACACATACAGAGTTTCGTAACCATAGGCCAATGCGTTCGTAAAATATAGCATTTTAGGTCAAAATTCAAAATGGCCGACATGGGAAAATTGCACCGAATCTAAAGAGACCAGTTTTGCTATATTTTTCAGGAGTTACAAGCAAAAATATACATTTCATATCTCCTGACCACTAGGTGGCGCTGTGGCGAAACTGTGCAGGTAGCCTCAGGTCATGGTTATTAGAACACACACCAAGTTTGGTCTCAATACGTTAAAGCGTTGCGGAGATATAGCCTCATGTTCTTTTTTGCGTGCTCTTTGTCGAATTCATTCGCACATTATTCGAAAACGGTTTGACTAATCAACTTGAATTCCTTAACTTTTTGCCAGCATGGTCTGAAGATGATCTGAGCCAAATTGTGTGAAAATAAGACAAACCGTCTAGGACGAGCTCGGAAAAGTACGTTTTTCGAACTTTAAAAAAAATGTGGTGCTTGACCCCTAATTAATATTTAAGCCCAAAGAGATCTAAAACCACTACATTTAGTGGCGGCCCGTGTGAGGCTATCGAACACGGAGATCACTACAAGCAGCAGCAGTGTCCTCTGGTTTGAGCCACGTCTCTGTCAGGGCCATGAGGTTTAGTCTTGAATGACTTAATGGCATCTGCTTTGTTTACTGCAGACTGGTAATTCCAGAGACCAATAGGAAAAGAAAGTAGTGTATTATTATTCACAATCACACTGATGACTCAATTAAATTAAAACAGCATTTTACTTAAAATACACAACATACAGACAGAAATAAAATTGCTTGACACTTTAAAATCTGATTGAGACCAATAACAAACAGCAGCGATGAATCTCCAAGCACGTCAGCGGTTCAGTTTGGCCCTCAGTTTCTCCAGCGTCTTCTGCAAGAGATAAAGAATATCTGGCTTAACCTCAGTCATATTTCAGCCCACAAGCAAAGAAATGAAAAGATCCTCGTGAGGCAAATGTGAAGTGTGTGTGAAAGCTAAATCAGCTGCAGTAATTTGCTTGGTTTGGCAGCCAGTTCATGTGTGACAGTTCAGCGGACTGTGACCTGAGGGAAAACGAGTCATTTCGATGGGGATTTTGCAGACTATCTGAGGAATCTTCCTGTGCAAGGCTCCGTGTGACCAAACCCTTACGAAGATGTCTGGCATCAAGTTGATTTTGGGGTGAAACATGTTTTCAGTATTCATGAGACTCATCCGGTCTCAAGAGCTCCAGTATTGTGTGTTCCGAGTGTCCTGCTCACGCGTCTCACCCTCTGGAAGTCTCTGGCCTTCTCCCGGTTCTTAGCGTACGATTCCTGACGGCTCCGCAGCTCCTTCTTCTGTTTAACTTCCTCTAACTGATTGTACAATCTGAAAGAAAGTTCAGCCATAAACCTTTAAATGCAAAGCCAGAACTAACTACAGCAATCTGTTTCATGGTTGTCCTGAGATGTCATAAATCTCCCATCATTCCCCGTGCTGTAGCTGAATGGTCAAACACACAGAGCGGTGATGCTGAATGTGCAGGTACCTGTGTGTGCGGCGGTACATCGTAGCCTCCTCACAGCGTGTGTGTTCATCAGAGCAGATCCGCACCTCAGCCACGCGCTTCAGTCTGTCAGCTGGAAGCAGTCGTTGTGTGAGACGTGTGTATTCAGCTGAGGAGCGTGACATACGTATCGTCTACAATAACACTGTAGTCGCTTTAACAATATGGAAGCTGACATGATCAAGTATGACACACTGCAATAAACAATCTTATATAGTTTAGCAATATCACGTGAGCAGGAGTGTTTTTTTTTTTTCCATATCAACACTAATGTGAATGTCACTGATTAAAAAACAACAATAAAGTTGTTACATTTACTAAATGAATGCACATTTTGAATGCATAGTTTTAACCGATGCTTACTCGCTGACTTCTTCATTAAGAGTGACTTACCACCACCTACTGACACTTAGTTTCATATGCACGTTTTTTTATATTAATTTCATAACCGAATATTCAAACAAACTCAAATCATTGTTTATACAGTGTAAATGCATTCATGCCACCTGTATTGTGCATTAAACTGTGTAAATACATCTAAAATCCACTTTAGATTCAGCTTCTGTGCCACTTCTGCAGTGCAAAGATGGGTTTTGTTGGCACTGATTTCATGTGAGCCCAATAGTGTCTGTAATAGAATTTACTGATTAAATGTAAGAATTCAACGTAAGATGATGCATACATTTAATAATAATTAGGGAAAAAATGTCTAAATGAGCACAAAAACAAACTAAATATTGTCTAAAGGCAAAAAAAAGTGTCATCTAGGGATGCACCGATGCACATTGTGTTCGGTGCATCCCTAATGTCATCTAATTATTATTATTATCTGCAAAAATCACAAACAACAACAAAGAAGCTCTCTCATGGTTTGGCAATCTGACAGCAGCAGGGCTCAGGTCACCTGTGTGTGGTTTAGGATCTGTGCGTCCTGTGGCTCTGGACACTTTCTGGACAGCTGTGGTTTTTCTGGCTTTGATCTGGGCGGCTCTGAGCGCTGACCTCTGAGCGAGACGATCCCGCCGGCGCTGCTGCGGAGCAGACGAGCTCTGAAACTCCAGCAGCATCACTGCAACACACAGAGTCACGTGACACTCAGCCTACACAAACACACCTGTGCGAGTCGAGAGCAGCGGGTCACCCACCAGCATGAGGGAATGCCGCCTCTGGCCGCTCTGATTGGCTGTCGTCCGAACGGCTCTGTGATTCGCCCTACAGGAGACAGCACTCATTAGCTCTGAATGACACGCATGCAGCAGCAGCACACACACAGACCCTCACCACTTCCTGTGCAGCACTTCCTGTGTCTGGCGTCTGTGTGAGGGTGAGCTCAGGATCCTGTAGTGTTGACTCTGGCAGACTGATGAAGGAGATGGTGGACTCCTCCAGGATGCCCTTCACGTCACCCGCCGCCTGAGACACAACCACAGTCATGTGAACGACGCTCACACGGAGCCAAACTCACGAGAGCGTCATCTGACTCCTGTTACTCGCTGCAGACTGTTAGTGGTCTGTATGGTTTCAACAATGCAAATCACCCTCATGTCATTCCAAACCTGTATGCATTTCTATCTTTATGCGAGATATTTTGACAAACACTGGCATCCAAACAACACTGGTTCTCATGTAAATGCAAAGGCTGATTGGAAATGCACATTTATTCTCTGCCAGCAGGAGGCGCTGTCGGAGCAGCAGAAATACAGAGCAGCACAGCACTGGACTCTGAAACCTGCAGCGCTCATATTTATTCAATTAAATCACAGCCTTTTGAAGTTTAATCGTCTCATTAAGCCGTATCTCAATTCTGGTCTTTCCGTCCCCAAATTTAACCTCCTGAAATCATAATTAAATTTAGTTGTTTCAAATTTAAGTCCATAAAAATAAAGTCTTAAACTCTATCAGGGTTTCTGCGGGTCCTTTAAAAGTTTATCTAGGTGTGTGTTCATATTTCTTGCAGCTCAACTACAGAAACAGGTCACCTAAAGCACAAACCTTCACACTGGCGCTGAATCATTACACAGGCACTACCGCAGTATGGCGAGGTGTTTATAACGTCAGACTCTACCTGTGCTCGCTCTAAGAGCTCGGTCAGGTGCGGCGGCGGCTCCGAGCTCACTTCCTGTGGTGCATCTTCCTGTAGAGCGGGCTTGAGAGGGGAGCGTGGCATGAGGCTCACGTCTGCAGCAGTGGGTGGAGCCACAGCATCGGTGTCACAGAGAGACTCGTGGGTAAAAGAGAGCGCATCCATGGATATCTGCAGGTCTGACTGAGACTGAAGCAGCGTGTCGACTCTGAGATGCTGCAGGGATGTTAGGGACTGATCTGTGGACTCCAGCCAGTCAGAGGCTTCAGCATCATGTGCGCCACACGGTTCTGCTTCCAGCGGGACGCAGAGAGCCGTCGAACAGTCTGCCGTCTCATTGGTGGTGACGTCAGAAGGCAGAGGAAGAAACAGATCTGATGCATCATCTACAACACAGAAAACACAACATGCATCAGCTCCACTAAACACCAGAACTAACTGTGAATAGTTTCTCATTCAGCCAAAAAACAAAACAAAACCAAAACTAAAGTTTATTTAATAATTAATTTACTGAATAAATCAACACTCAAATAAAAACCGAGTCGTATATTATTTAAATCACACACAACGCAGTTTTATATCAACTTTTCAATTCACGGTTGCAATAAAAATGGCAGCTATTATGAATTGTTTACATGCCAGGAGACATCACTGACAGGTTAAGAAAAATATAATGAATATGTAATATAGTGCATATGTTTCGCAAAATGCAAACTGACTATCGAGTTTATGGTCATCGAAAGTCTTTCCTGAGGTAAATGTGATGTTATTGTTCACAAGCTATTTTGTTTCACTGATGTCTTTCTGCAGTTTGATTGATCGATTACATAACAGATTCATGATTTCAGTAAGTTGTTCTGTTTCTTCTGATGTTCATTATTTGCTGCTGTAACTAGTAGAAGAGGAAGAGGTGATCGCTTCACTAGCTATCTGTCAACACACTTTAAAGAGCAGCAAAACAGCATTTATTGCTTGTGATAAAATTAACAGAATTTGAAAGCGGAGACTTTGTTTTATATCAGAAGCTTATTGTGATTATTGTGAAGGGAGGCGCTACAAAGAATGTTTACTGAAGTTTTGTTCATGCATCAACAGAAAACAGCATAGACTAGAAGACTGGTTCATTGAAACGGTAAAACTGATATTGTTAATCCAGCACTAGCGTCCTCACAGCTGACAGGTTGTGTGCATGAAACAGTGACAGTCAAAACACACCACTGGGGAAATGCTACTTAAGCATCACTGTCTCAGTCAATGATTTTGGCCCTCCAAAACTATTTCTGAAACTGAATTATTACTGAAATATGCATTATTAATAATCACTGCTGGTTAGCTTAAGAACTATCAACAGAGCAGTGCCTTAACGCACTGTAATAGTTTATACTATAAAACAAGTGCAGGAGTGTGTGAGGAATATCTTCAGCGCTCTGCCTCGTGAGAACTGTGGTGTTTTCTGTCATTTACCCTGTGGGCCGTCAGTCAGAGCATCATCGCTCATCATCTGTGACACTGACGGCTGGAGCGATGAGCCGACCTCAGCGGGTCCTGCAGCTGAACAAACACCAGCACAGTCAGAGCAATGGAACACAGCACACACACAGACTCACACACACACACTCACACACTCACTCACTCACTCACTCACAGACACACACACACTCACTCGGACACACACAGACACACTGAAGCCCCATCATCACCTGTGCTCTGAGTCACTTCCTCCGGTCCATCGGCGAGGACGCTGCTCTGATCAAACACCTGAGACGAACCCATATCTGACGCTTTACCAATCAACTGGCTGAACGCAGACTGATCAGGAGAGGGTAACTGATCTTCAGCGCTCGAGTGTGTGCGTCGAACGTGACTGGTCCGGTTCTGCCTCACAATGGACTCGTTCAGGTGTCTGTCCTGATCACGACACACAGAGGATGACAGACGAGACGGTAAAACTGAGTTTCAAATCATTGTTTACTTCATTACTTTTCTCTCTCTGGGAAAAAAAAGTCCGTACGCATGGGTCAGAGTTTGCGTGCAGGTGCGCAAATTTTCCCGTCAAGTTTGTTTTTATAAATCCCACCTTTTGCGCAGGAAGTGGCGTACGGCTCTTCCAGGGCAGGTTTTGTGCGTGCGCAATGGTTATAAATGAGGCCCCTGATCATGATGAGATGGATCAGCAGGCGTGGTGCCGTGACCCTGCTCGCTCTGTCTGATGGATAACTGATCAGAGAGGCGCTCAAGGATCCGGTTTACAGTCTCGCTCCAGCCCTAACAGGATCCAGCAGAGATTAGCATGGAAAGATACGCGGGAACAGAGTCAGGAGAATTAAACATGCACAAACGGTACCTGAGCTCTAGTGCTCTGATCATCTCGCACTGCATCTCTCGATGATGAAGAGGAAGAGTCGATGTCTGGATGAGGCAGTAGCGGCTGGAAAACACCTGGAGAAAGAATAAGACTCTTCAGCCCAAAGTATACAGTGCTTGTCCACGTTCAGAGTGTAACTTCCATTAGCAGCACAGGCCGCTGATGTCCACACAAAGTCAGATTTGCTAGCACCACCAGCAGCTCAAATCTGCATGTTCACAGATTTGATGAAGAGCATGGCAAAAATGGACATACGGCTCTCTCCCTGCAATGCTTTAGCGCAGGGTTCCTCAAATCTTGCCCTGGAGGGCCAATGTGCTGCAGAGTTTAGCTCCAACCCTGATCAAACTCAGCTACCTGTGATTTTCTAATGAGCCTGAAGACATTGATTAGCATGCTCAGGTGTGTTTGATTAGGGTTAGAGCTAAACTCTGCAGGAAAGTGGATCTCGTGGGCCAGATTTGAGGATCCCTGCTTTAGCGTATTCAGGCCAAACAGTGCGTGTTATGACAACCATTCCAGCAGTTTCAGCACGGCACCACCTAGTGATCAGGAGATATGAGAAATAATTTTTCTAACTTTGAACAGTGTGACCCAAAAGTACAAGACTCTGGTCTCTTGATTCAGAGCAGCAAACTGAAATCAAATTATATAAAATTGTCCCATGTCTGCAATTTTGGGCACTGGCCATTTTAAATTTTGATGTAAAATGCTACATTTTATGAACACATTGGCATATTGTTACAAAAGATGGGATGTGTCATCAGCCCCATGTTATTCTAAAGGTACTCAGTTTCAGGACAGCGCTGCCATGTGGTCAAAAAGTGTTTTGCCTGCCATGGTCTTGACCGAATCCTTGGGTCATACTGATATACTCTTTTTATATATATATATATATTCAATTATGAAATAATCTGCCAAAATTCCTGTCCGCTATTTTCAGACAGTTGGTCTGAATTTTCGCAAATTCAACTCCGATCATCTTCAGATCATGCCTGCAAAAAGGTTTCATGTTGAGACTACATTTTTACTGCTTACCACATCAACAAATTGATGATGTCAAAATGCATCTGTACAATGCTTTAGCATATCGACAGCAAACTTTGTGTCACTGTCACCCAACACGGACCACACCACATCAGTCTGGGTGCAGCGTTACCAATTAGTCAAAAGTGATAAGCAATTGTGTCACATTACAAGCGCATTTATGGTTCATCAACGAGTCAGATGCTCCTGCTGTGCTCGTTTAGCAATTATCGCACAAGAGGCAAATGTTACTTGCCTCCATATATTTTATGAATTAATTTATTACGTAACCAATTGCAAGTACAATGAAGTGACTAATTAAAATCAACCCATGTGTATGACTAGCAGATGGAACTGGAGGTCAAAGGGCAGAGGAAGTGAGGTCACCTGAGAGCTCGGTGCTGGACAGAGCTGCGGCTGAACTCAGAGAGCTCCTGTGCTCCGCTGCATCTCCATCACGCAGTGAACACTCCTCCTGAAGCGCACTGGACCAGGACTGAGACGCTGAACTGGTGTTCACCGCACCTGCACACAGCACAAGTGAGCATATCTGCTTCCTGCACACGCTTGACATGCTAAACTAACCCATGACATGTTTACCTGAGGTCACTCCTGCGTGTCTCAGTGAAGCGTTCAGCTCTTTGCTGTATTTATCTATGATCTGCTGCACAGAGTCTCTCATTTCCTGTGCCTGGGCAGCGGTCATGTGACAGGAACTGGATTTGGGTGACGGGCCACACACATCAGGCTCGGTGCAGAGATGAGACGCTTCTGAGAAAAAAAATGCAGACGTGAGCTCTGCTCAGAAACAGACCCTCGTACAGGACTGATCCAGATGCTTCCAGAACAAACTCTGAATGTGAATATAATGATTAAACACACCTGAAATAGCGTAACTGGGCTCATGGTCACTGGTGGAGTAGCTTCCTGTCGAGATCGTAGTGGATGAGAGGTAGTCTGGATCAACAGCACCAAAGCACTAGCAAACAAACACAGAGCGGATTTACACACCGTGATTACACACACACACACACACACACACACACACATGCTTGCAGGAAAAAAATGCTTAGAGGATTAAGTGGCTAGAAATAGTGGAGTCTTCAACTGACCCAGAATCAGATCTTAGTACAGGTATGCGACAGAAAAGCCCTCAGGGAAACACAAGCTAATACACACATCGTCTGCAAAGGCGATGTCCAGTGTCCAAACTATCAGTGCAGAGGGGCGTATTCACACCATTTTCTGCTATTCTCTGAGCTCAGTTCAAGTGTAGAGACCTTCATTATCATACACGCGTTATTCACATGTACTTTAGGTACAAAACACTATCATCATTGCTCAGACACAGACACACACAGACACACACAGACACACACAGACAGCTTCTCTTGGCATAATCACTGGTGTGACGCACGCTCAGATTTGGCTAGATTTCATCACTGATCCGCACAGCTGTGGATCTCAGAGGAGCCGCCAGTGAGGTCATGTGCGTCACACCAGCAGATGATCGTCGCTGAGACACTGACCACAATCTTACCTCTCGCTGGTGATTCATACTGGATGGACCTAAGAAGTGAACAGGATTAGAAGAGTTTTAGCAATTAAGCATTTTAAATAACTGAAGGTCATCAAGTCAAAATGAAGTCACCCACACAACAGAGACAGATTTCTAACAAACACACTGCATTTCTTGAACCGCTGTCGCTGAGCCTCCAGCTCGGTTCTGCACATCACACAGCTTTCCAACTTTAGTGCATAGTGAGAAACCAGCAGAAACAGATGAATGTGTCGTTTCTTACTCGCTGAGGCTGTGGAGTCACACAGGAGCATTTCTCTCCAGGACATGCGGCTGATTCTGCCCGTGACCTGTGACCTTTGACTCACGCTGTGACCGTCTTCAGAGGAGACGGCGGGCAGAGACGTGCTGCTGGACTCGCTCACATCAACAGACTGCAGCTCTGCAGGAGCCAATCACAGAGCACAAACTGGTCACATGAGGTCAGACACACATCCTGGATGAGGATATGAGGTGCTCGCGTACCTGTGTCCAGGCTGATGTTGACTGGAGTGTCCACTTCCTGTATAGCACTGAGTTCATGCTGCTCCATCTGCTGTAAGAAGGCCAAACGGGCAGGAGGACGAGACACTGGTGGCTTCACTCTCCCACGATGCACTGGGGCTGGATCATATACAGAGCCTACAAAATACATCCAGCACCATTATAGTGCATGTTGACTATTGCTTTTTAAATCAATTTTAGCCCATATTAATTTTCATGAGAATGTATCAATTCTTAAATCAAGATCTTTTAGTCAGCACTGTTTTCTGTTTATGCGCAAACAAAACATCACTAAACATTATTTGTAGCACTCCTGATATTCAATAATTGCGATAAACTTTGTGTTTTGTTACTTTTGATATGAAACCGTCTCAGCTTTCAAATTCTGTACATTATCACAAATGCAAACAATAAATGTGGTTTTGGTGCTCTTTAACGTGGCGTGACGGATCTCTTCCTCTTTACTACTAGTTACAGCACCAAATAAACAAACTATGTGACATACCATTACATTTACCTCAGGAAAGCCATTCAATGCCCATAACTCCAAACTAAGCTAGGATAAAAATAATTCCAGAGAAGAGCATTTTGATAAAAAAAAGCACTATATTAGATTTACAACATTTTTAATTAATGTGTTAAGTGTCATAATTATGTAATGTTCGAATAAATGTCATAAAACAAGTGTTTAGTCACAGTTTAAATGTTTATATTTCAAGGACAAATTGGTTTAGAAGCAATTGTATAATTAAATATAAAAATTGCCTTATCGGCATTTGTATTCAACCCTGAGAGTTTTTATTCGAGGGTCACTAATAATAATAATAAATAAATAAATAAATAAATAAATCTCAAATAAATAGTAAACGATTTTAATAGTGTAGACTATCGTACTACTGACAAGGTTCCCTGAATAGTTTACAGCTTTACAGAGAAAAATGTACATGTGCTGTACTTGATACTAACAAAATTAATCTACAGAATCAAGAGCTCATGAAACAGAATTAAACGGACCGTGTGATCTGTGTCATTACCCAGCCCTGTGTGTGTGTGTACAGGTTTTTCTAAACTGGTGGGGACTTAAACCTGAATACACTCAGACTCATGGGGACTTGCGTCACTGTGAGGAGCTAAATTGAGGTTCCCATGGGTACAGAAGCTTATAAATCATACAGAATGAGTTTTTTTGAGATTGTAAAAATGCAGAAAGTTTCCTGTAAGGGGTAGGTTTAGGTGTAGGGTTGGTGTAGGGCAATAGCACATACAGTTTGTACAGTATGAAAACTATTACGCCTATGGAGAGTCCCTACAAGGATAGCTGACCAGACTGAGTGCGTGTGTCTGTGTCCGCGTGTGTGTGTGTCTGTCTGTCTGTCTGTCAAGTCACCTTTATTTATATAGCGCTTTTAACAATACAATGTGTGTCTGCGTCTGTGTCGGAGCACTCAGTTTACCGTCTGAGAGGAGTGTTGTAGTGAGTGTGGCTCTGTCCCGTTGGCTGGGTGCTGTCGAGGGTTCAGTGTGGCCGTTAGCTTCCTCAATGGTATTTAGCAAAGTGCTCAAAGTCGTCCGGTCTGTCTGAACATCACTGAAGCTCAACGCTGAACCCTGCCAGAAGAACAGCACTTTACTGTAGGACTCAACGATGTGATGCACAGTTCAAAACACTTCAAAAAATACTGATTCAAAAACACCGTTGGCTTGAACACACCTTTAGGTTTTCAATTTCCAAATTAAAATCCTGTTTCATATTTTTGTGACATTAAAAAAAAAAAATCTCTTGGTCAAATAACACTTGAAAGAACACAGTGGAAAAAAAGTCACTCATATAGTTTTAGAATGACATGAGGGTGTGTACATGACAGTTTCATTTTTAGGCGAATTATCTCGTCAACAAGAGTCAAGACTGTTGTATAGTTTTTGTTTCAAATTTATTTACTGGTGAACTCTGTGCTTGCGCTTGGTGAAAACAAACAAACATGAAAAATACACCAGAAACTTTTGCTGTCCCAGAGAGCATCTGAAAAGTGGTTGGCCGGTCAGGTGAGGTTTACCTGTCTGTCTGCTGTGATCAGAGCCTGCAGGAAGTCTCTCTGTCTCCTCAGCTCCTGTCTGTCTGCCTCCACACACGGCTCACTCTGAAGCTGCGTCACTGATGTCTGGACCGGACCGAAGGAAGACGCCGTCACTGAAGCACTGATCTCAGCGGACCGCGGCACTGCATGATGCTGGCGGCTGCGCAGGAGCTCCAGAAGCACAGAGGGGGGAGGAAGAGGAACACGGTCTTCCTGTCCATCCTGCGGTGAGCTGGACTCAGATCCAGAGGGGTTTGGCTGCTGAGGAAAACAGACGCTGTGAGGTTGGCGGATGTCGAGGACGGCGGCGTGACTTGTTTCACACTAACCTGTGACGGAGCAGGAGCTTTTCCTGGATGGAGGACATGAGGATCAGGGTGGAGAACGAGAGGAAGTGCAGGGCTGTGGGCAGATCGTGTCTCCAGAGGAACGGAAGGCTGCGGTAGTGCTGCTGATGTGCTGCCACTGGTGTATCGTAACTTCAGAGTACGCTGATATTCCTCCAGCCGTCGACGAGCTTCTGCAACACACTTCTTATGAAGTCTGTAGAGAAGAGCGCAGGCAAACAGTCACACACAGGCTGCATCACGTGTATCACTGCTGCAGTGTGTTTCAGTCGGACCTGTTCTGCTCCAGGAGCCTCTGCTGGTACTGATGGAGTCTCTGCGTATGCGTGACATCTGGCTTAACCTACAACAATGTTGAGTTAGAAAGACCGTTCACCCAAAACAAAAAAAAATAAAATAAAATTTGTATTAAATTAAATAAAAAAATAATAATTCCTGTCATCATTTACTCACTATTCCTTTAACATAACGTCAATGCCATTATCACAATATTTTCAAAATTTACAGGAAAATATACACATTTTTACGGAAAGGTGAGCATTAATAAAATCAACTTAAAAACTCAACAGTATATGGTTCACGCTCCTTTTGGTGTGAATGAGCGCACCTCTGCAGGCGGTTCAGGAAGTGCTGTGCTCTGCCTGTGAGCAGCTTCCTGCAGTGTGGCGCTGGTGTGCGGAGTGTCTCTCAAGCGCTGCTCGAGCTCACGGCGTTTCTCCTCCAGCTCCTCCAGCAGAGCCAGCTGCTCCTGCTGCCGTCTCAACAGCACCTCCACCTACAGAGTACAGCGAGATCATGTTACCCACACAGACAAGAAAACATCTCTGTGCTATGCTGCAGTCTCTCTCTTCTCATACGAACACAGTTAGAATGGTCAACAACATCTTGTGCCTACCAACCGCTACCAATTGTTGTAAAAATGGTCTTCAGTATTATTGTTCTGGTAACATAAGACTCTTAAAAGATGGCAAGAAACTCCAGAGTCTTAATTTATTGCTAGATCTGTTTCTTACAGGATTTGTACATATTTTAGCAATACATTTCCATAACTTGACACTATATTCATGACCTAATGTCCACGCAGAGAACATATCAACACATCACTGAATATTATAATTTATTTAACCAATATTAAACGGGTCCAGTCTAACAGTAGCATTCAGGTACAGAAATTTAAATATTTCTTGTCCATGTATTTATTAATCTGGTAAGTGCGATATCAGAGCATGCTGGCGTCCTCATGAGGTCTGAGCTCAGTTCAAGTGTAGGCACCTTCATAGAGCGCATGTGTGTTTCACAAGCACTTCAGGAAGAGTAGAGTCTCATCACAGCTCAGCCGCTTGAACACGCTCTTAATGATCGACTGTGATCCAAACAGACAGTGATGGCCTAACTCACATGGGTCGGCTGGTCCGTGTGTGCTCTCCTCTCGCTCTCCACCCGCTCCTCCACCGGCAGCACCGATCCTGCCACCACGGCTTCATCACTAATATCAGGAGCTGAGGAACGAGATCAGAGGAGAAATCATAACGAGCCCCTACACAACAACGCAAGGCAGCTGGATTATAAAAAAATAAATACATTGAAAAATAAAAGAAACAAATGTAGTAATTCACACTCTTAAAGGGTCAGTTCAACCAGGAAAGCTCATGCACTGTGTAAGATGCCCTTTAGGCTGTTCTGTTTGTTAGGATATTGGTGTAGAAACACTTGATGTCAAGAAAGCTTCACTCATAATGTTTCTGCTTTGAACTGGTGTAACATTTCGCAGAAGTGAAGCTGAATGCTTACCGTCCTCAGTGTGTGTTGTGCTGGGCGTCTGCTGCTCTAAACTGCCTCCTGAAGCTTTTTCCTGGCTGCTTAAAGATCCTGTTTCAACACTCAAGGCTTCCTCCTGTGTGTCTGCATCACGTGACGTCACTGGCGTGTCTGTGGTCTGCTGACGGCTCCTCTGATCTCTCTGCCTCCTGATGCGCTCCAGCAGTCTGCTCAGAGCCCGTCTGCCCGCGTCAGCCGGAGGAGCAGAGGATGCTGCCGAAACATAACCGAGAATAGCACTAAAGTTTAGATCTCGACTGCTGTCCCATCAGGTGACGTGATCGGCTGCCCACCTGCTGTTTCAGTGCCTGGGGTCTCGGCCTCCTCCCCTTCAGGTGCACATTCAGGGTCAAGGGTCACATCCAGCTCCTCATCATGACTAGAGGCGGACAGAGGAGGAAGAGGTTCAGGTACCAGCTGCATCACCAAGTCACCTTTGACCTCTGGAGAAGTGCACATGATGGAGACACGTTAACATCACATGCTCTCCACAACAACACACAGAAGAACAGCACACACACACACACACACACACACACACACACACACACACACACACACACACACACGAGTGCTCAGTCAACAAGTGCTGCAGGACAACACGCTCTGACGTTTAATATGTTATTGGTCTAATCATATCACCACTCATAGTTTCCCCTTCCATTCTGGGGAACATGTGTATTGATGTGGTGGTGTTTCAGTGAAGTGAGAGCACATACTGCGCTCCTCTGTGCAGACGTCCTGAAAGGCGATCTCGAGCTCCCGCTGCTGCTCGTCCCGCAGCTCTTGCTGTCTGTAGAGAGGCTGGAAGATCTGCGCTGGGACGGTGTTCACTTCCTGTCTGCGGCGCAGGAGATCAGCCTGTTGCAGACGCTCCAGCTCACAGAGCAGCCGCGCGCGATCCT